CATTTCTGACTGTATATCCCTGTAATTATTACACACTGTAGCTTTAAATAGTAACTAATATTTGGTAACAAACTATAGTAACTAATATAAACTAATATTTGGGCAAAAAGTTTAGTATTGTTGCTTTAAAAGGGAATGTGGAAGTGGAATAGATCTTTGGGGATGGTGTTGAGTTTTTCAAAACAGCAACAACAGGCTGCAAAGTGGTAATAAATGTGGAAAAAGGGCAAAGGTGATTCTCAAACCTTCCCTCCTGGTGTGAGACACACTTACATGACCTTCCATGCCCTCTACAGGGCTCCAGTCCCTCCAGCAGGTCCGTCCTGCTCTCAGTCTCATGCTCTCGTCTGGCCACAGCAACTCCTTCCGCTTCGGTAGGTTGATATTCTCGAGCACCTGAGTCACGTCCACTATCTAAGAAGCACCAGGCAGCAGGAGACATGACTTAATGAGCGCCAACAGAGCTGGAACAGCTATTGCCTAAATAATCCACAAACCTGCACTCTGTATGAAATGTCATCTCGCCGTACTGTGGAGACCATGGGGTGGTGCTGCTGTGGATGGTGATGATGGTTATGAAGCTGGCTGAGAGGATCTGTCACAGCGCTGCATACGCCATCATTTCCTAGGAGCCCGACCAGTGTGTGCCGTTTGCAAGGAGGGATGCTGTGGCTGGAGAGGGAGGATGATGGGCCGGCGGGGTCGGATGTGGAGCCCAGGCGAAGCTGTAGGGATGTGGGGAGTGCACGCAGGGACAGCTGGCTGGTGGAGGAACGGCGGCAGGGCTCCAGGCCTGTAGCAGAGGTGCGCAGGGAGGAATGTCGGCTGCTGCCATAGCGGTAGGATGAGGATTGGCTGGCCATGGAGGCACGGGCTGGGGACTGACGTACTAAACCGGACTGAACAGACTGAGAGCTCTGGCTAGTACCTGGACACAGGAGAAAATACAGTCAGAAATTCCATTCGCAGTTGAAAAAGCAGCACTGCTCATATTAAAGCACAGAAAATCACCCAGAAAGTCTATCAAGGACGTGTGGAAGCAAGGAATAACTTCTGTGTAGGAAGGGACAGAGAAGCTGGTCAGAGCTGAAGGGAAGAATGCTAAAGCCAATACAGAGCAATGGGGTAACAAAATGTGTTAGAGGCTAAAGAAATGTCAAGAATTTCTCATCTTATAGCAGAACCCCAAATATACAGCTGGAGATTGTATCAGTGGGGTTGTTAAAGCTGTCTGAGCCTGGGCGGTTTTGAAGCAAAGAATAAAAAAATTATTTGGAGATGTATTATTGAAAAATAACCAGAAAGATGCCTGAATAAATATGCTCGGCTAACTTTAGTGGGCTATAAAATGAAATCCAATCTAAATAGCCCAGAACCTGAGGTTTAAACGGGACGGTGTGGATATGAACAGGAAGCACAGTTCTTACCCAGAGAGTGAGGCTGGTATGAGTGCGGTAGAGCAGGTCCCGTGGATCCGCCATGCGACACAGAGCTCTGGTGAGAGTCTCCGCCCGTCCCGTTTCCGCTTCCAGACGACAAACCGCCAGCATCTGAATCCTCTATGTTCCCGCCACTGTTGCAGCCGGCACCGCAGCCTTTCCTTAACCTGCAACAAAAAAAACAAACAAAAAATCTTTTAGTCTCATCTTTGCTCAAAACATTTAAGCACACCTGTGATCAGAACGTCATCACATCATCTTAATGTGGAAAGTTTTGCAAGCTAGTTTCCATAACCATCCAATACCTGTGCCAGGTGCTGACAACGAAGTTGCGGATGTTTGCGAGGCTGATGGGTCCCCCTAGGATGTGCCCAAGCTGGTGGTGTGTGTTGCAGTAGGAGGTGGTCAGCGGGGACACGTAGATGGGATACCCAATGGGCTGGTCGCAGGACGAGTTGATCATGTTACGTAGGGCCTGCTTGGCGTTCTGGATGCTGCCCCGCTCTGGGTTTCTGTTTCTCAGGAACACCAGCTCCTGTTGCTGCCCAGCCCAGAGGCCGCGGACACATTCTTTATTAACCTGCGACACAATCACAACGTTCTCATTAACCGACTCACAGATAGAGGGGAGCTCCCTGAATGGGTCGAACTGGTCCCACCTTGATGACGCGGAAGCTGAGGTATCTTCGATTGAGCATGATGATCTTGTACTCGTTCGTGCCTTCGTCCAGTACATGGCGAAGGGCGAGGAGGGAGGGAGCATTGGACAGCACAGCACTCCTCCAGGCAGGGTCGCCCTCATGAGCGATGACCAGGTTCTGCTGGTGGGAGGAGATGGCCTCATAGAGAATCGCCGGCTCATCATACTCATCAGGGGACGTAAAGTGGTCCTAAAGAGGAAAAAGAAACCAAAAAAATGAAGCGTCGGAAAATGAGATGGTGTTTAATTGAGGCCCCTATTAACAAGCCTCAATTAGGAAAGAGTCACAGCTTTTTCTCACCTGGTGTAATTTAAGAGACATTCGGATACCAGGCACCACGACCTTCCTGAGCAGTTCCATGTCGGCGAAGATCCACTCGTCTCGCACTGACGAGATGCGGAAGTCTCCTTTAAACAATGCATGCAGTCCGTAGAGGAAAGACTCCAGGTTGCTGGGAGGGAAATCAGAAAAAGAAGAGATGGAAGTTTTAACCCCTTAGCTCCCACCGTCCAGCCCTGGCTCATTTTGACATCACATTTTAGTTCCACATCTAACAGCTAGCTTATTTGTAAACAAAACCCAACATGTTGTAGCTCTTAGAATCAGGCAATCCTAAGGAAAATGACCATCAACTCAATTGTAAAGCCAGCAGCTGTCAATCAGTGCAGAGATGATCTGTGGTGCTTCTTTAAATAACAGCTTCTTTCTGACAGTTATAAAATCTTTGATCATAATGAGGAAATCCCAGAAACATTTATCCCTCAGTGAGCGCTCTACTGTAGGAGCGCTGTCATTGAATCAGTGGCTCTGCACCATCGTCTCTCTTCTGTGTTCACGTTAAATTTGCATGTGCACCACATGCACTTAGATGTGCACATTACTATCACGTGCACTTACACCAGGAAACTGTAGCCCTTTATTTATAAATGTTAAGTAAAGAATCTGTTTAAAGCATAGTAATGACCTTTACAAACTAATTAGTTACAGTTACTGGAAAGGATGGAAAAGGTGGTTGCATACTCTTAAATAGGAAGGCGCTCTGAATACAGCTTATTTTATAATTTCATTATGGACTATTGTAGTAAATGAGGGTCTGGATACAAATTAAACCCACATTTTTAGATTTATAATTGAGTAAACTTTGTGTAGGTCTGTCATAAAACTCTAACTGACACTGCTGATTGGTTTATATAAGCACAACAGGTGCAGCTTTTATAGATCATTCACTTGGCAAGGTGAAGATTTATAGATAACCTGGACATGTGATGAGCTGCAGTTCCCAGGGCTCTCCTTCCCAGAACGCAAAGGCCGAAGCAGAGCAGCACGAGCGGCGAGTCTTTATCGCTGTTAAGTGGCTACAGGACAGAACAGACACACAGGAAACCTCTGTTATGCTTAAATGAAGGCTTTGGTTTGGAAATATCATTTCCTTCCATCAGCATCAGATCCTACTGCACTATGGTACTGGAAACATTTTCATTTAATAAAACATTTTTTAAAGGTATACCTTAGCCCTTTGAGTGTTACAATACTGGATCCAACTCAGGTAGACGCCACAAAAACTGTCTCTGGAGATGCCTGCAAGCCGGTGGTCATAATCCTCGTCGATGTTGGGATTAAAGGTGGGATCCAGGTCCACATAGTTCCTCTCTCCACATCCTCGCAGGCCCTCTTTCATGGTCTCATTAGCCAGCCACTCTTCAAGCTTAGGGGAAGCGATGACGTAGTAGATGATACCCTGAACCCAGAGAGAGCCCAGAAGCTCAGATCTTTTCAGAATGTCTCCTGTTCAGAGATGTTCCTCAACATCATGAGGGGAGAACAAACCTTGACGTAGTAAGTGGTGAGGATGCGCCTCAGGTCAAACACCTGGAGCATAGAGGCGGCGCTGTTGTCAGTGATACTGTAGCCCTCTAGAACATATTTGGTGACCAGCACCTCCCAGGCCAACCAGCGCTGACCGAAGGCGGCGTTGAAGGACAGGATGTGAGGGAGATGGCCGGGCTCGCAGCAGCAGCAGCCCTCGTCTTCTTCAACTCCTTCGGTGATGGCCTCAACCTCCCTCTGTTGGCAGTAAGTTCCTGAAGAGAGCGGAAGAAAAATAATCCATGAGTGGTGCTGCATTAGTGATTTGGAAGTACAATGATGATTTCTGCCTGCCTTTTCTACAATGACACACTAAAACAAAATTAAACCCTGGTTAAAAACAAAAAAAAAAAACAGAGCAGATATGATCTGATATTTCTGCCCAATATGTCTTTAAAAGAATTAAATGATGATTAAAAAAGTCAGACAATTTTATTTCTATTGAACAGACTAGGTTCTATTTCCACAAAGGACCTGTTAAAACATCTTCCTGTGAAAAACAAAAACATGTCAGGTTTACAGATTCAAGATATATGACAAGCTGGTGACTCGGTCACATGCTGTCTGCACTGATCGTGTTTCAGCAGGTTTATAAATGCAGCAGAAACCCTGGAGGGGAATGACTCAAAGTCACGCTGCCAAACGGCCAGGTGTGTTTTCCAATGCAATAAAGCATTACTTTTTATTTATTTATCTTGTTTTGACCAAAATCTGCAGGGGAATTCATTAGCTATACTTTATTCTTCAATATTTAGAAATGGGAAGACGAGGACAGCAACATCAAATAATTTGTAGACACTTAACACAGCTGGAAAATTAACCCTGCAGTCAGATTGTGCAATCCTCAGATAAAGGCCACTGTTAGCAGGATGAATGTTAAAAGTCATGGCAGACAATCAGCAATAGACTAAATATTTGTATGGTTCGAAAAAGATGCCAGGAACAGGCCTCGTTCACAGCTAGCGTGTTGCAACGTCAATGAATAACACTGGTTCCCCCAGAAATCGCTTTTGGACAAAGTAGAGATGTTTGGTCACAAGTAAACCTGTAAGTGAAGCTAAAAACTGTGAGCAGCATGTCAGGACAAAACCACATAAAGTACCAGCCAAGGTAGGGGTGATGATATGGGCTTGTTTTGAAGCAACATGACACAAACCTTTCCGTGTGTTGAAATAAAGTCAAATGTGAGGCAAAACAAAATTTAGGCTCAAACTGGGCAATAAAACAGAACTCTAAACTCAGAAACAGATCATTAAAATGATCAACTGTGTCAATGGTTCTACAACCTAATGAATCATAGGGTGAACTTAAGTTTTACCTGAATACATTCTCTCTATTTTAGCTTTGTCTTTGTTTGGGAAATAGTCCGTAATTTGAGTTTAAACCCAAATAACATCAGAAAACTATAAAGATGGGATCACATTCTGATTTATAAAGCTCTAAAACCGAAATGCAGCTGTCATTGTTTTCTTCATAAGATGTTTATGTGAAAAACTGACGTGGAGGAAAACTAAGTATACTGACCTGGACCAATTAATCCATTTGCATGTGTCCATGTGGAGGGAAGACATTTATACTAAAAGGAGTTTTTAGGGGGAAAAAGAGCGTCTCCTGGGAACTACAGCCCTGATGTGACGTAGGAAGTTAAATATCCAATACTTTTGAAATAGCAGTACAAACTAATCAATCATATATTTGTTAATTATTTGCGGCTTCTTCACTAAAGTAGAGAAAAAATTTTTCCCGTCAGCAGTGGATGCAGACACTATAGGACTTTCTCTGGCTGATAAGTCTTTTAACAATGATAGATGTAACACAAAGTATCCTCATTTATTAACCACATATTTTGCTCTAACTGCTATTTGATCATAAAATGGACCACAACTTCTGATTATACAATGAGATAAAATGGACAAAAACTTTTGAAAGTATAATCAGAAGAACCACAAATATTTTCATAGCAAACAGGTCAACAAACATCCAGTGAATTTACTCTGAATTTACATCAAACTAATGTCTGTGGCCCATTATTTGTTTCAGCTTCCTGTTTTGACCCACGTGAATACAGGTTTGGACACTGCTGAAGAAGAAGGTAACAGTAAAAAAATGTTCCTCCTTAAAATGAGTGAAGAAATGAGGAGCTTCTCATTTTTTAAAACACTAGTACTTCTTTCCTTTACATGTGAAAGACTCTACATACAAACTTAACCTTTAACTTTATAAAAATACAATAAATGCCTCCATAGTTATTAAAAATGACCCTAATATTCTTCACTACAGATGTCATACCAGATATTAATCTGCTGGCCACAACACCATAAACCAAATGTCCAGGCTGACCTCTGAACTCCAGCCCTCGGAGCTGAAAGGTGACCAGGCCGTTGCCAATCTCGATGAGATGCACCAGAGCATTTAGGTAGTCAGATGCTAGGATGAAGCAGTCCCCAGTGCTGAAGTTGCCCCAGCGGCCCAGGAGGAGGTCCCCACACAGGCTGTGCTGCAGGGAGCGGGTCAGATGCTCGTAGAAGATCGAGTTCAAGTTGTTATCATCAGAGCCTGTAAAAAGGCAAAGCTCCCATTTTAGAGGCAGCAACATCAAACATGGAGGAGCAACATTGATTACGTTTATGTAGTGAGAAATTATTCCAATAAAACAATTTCAATACACTAAAATGTGTTGGCTCATTGTTAAAGCTCATCTTTGTAAAAATGAAGTTTAAAATCTGTAAATATTTTTGTGAATGTTTGTTTGTCATGTTTGTCTCTATGTTGCCCTGCTATGATGGACTGGCGACCTGTCCAGGGTGTACCCCGCCTCTCGCCCATTGACTGCTGGAGATAGGCACCAGCACCCCTCGCGACCCCACTCGGGACAAGCGTGTCAGATAATGGATGGATGGATGGATGGGTACCTTGCCTGGGCGATTGGAATTGGATGCAGATTAGTTTACAAAAAGGATCTCTTGAACTATTTTTTTTTCAGGTTTATGACAAACATTGAAATCGTGTGTTTAGTTGTGTTCTGTCATCTTCTTGGGTGTGTTTTGTGATTGACACTGTATGACAGGTGGAGTCATACTGCGCTGCTTCCACATCCAGTTGGACAAAAGGTCCATCAGATTAAAATTTGTCAAGTATGTTAGATTTTTTTTCCCCACTAACACAAATGTACTGAAATACTGTCGATCTAGGTGTCTGTACCAGATGAACACAACTCACCTGGATTTCTGTCCAGCTGAGACGCTAGCCGAGTATTTGAGTGATCAACTCTCTTAGTGCTGGAAACACATAAAAATCAACAATTTTAGAAACACGTGGATGGATATAAGAAATCATTCACAGACAGAATGTAGTCTTCTAGTTTTGCATACTTGTAGTCTCGTTCCCAGAATTTCACGGGTCGAACATAGGAGGTGATAAAGATGGCGCTGCCAAGGAAGGGGTTGAGGGGAGTGGAGAAAACTGCAGACACTACAGCCTGGACGAACAACATGGCGGAATCTGGAAGCTCTGGTTAAGGTTATTAGGTAACAGCATGTGATGTGCAAAAGAGATTAGCTTGATTAGAATAGACTTCATGTTTGAGGTATGTGGCAAAAAGATACGAGGCACTGCAAAGGGCTGAGCAAAGGCATGGAAGGCTGAGCCCCATGTGATCTGCCACGGGGCAATATAGGTGTAAACAAAGTGTAGCTTGTAAAACAGCTCCCACAACTGTAAACAAAACAAAAACAGAGAGACAAAAAGGAAGAGAAAGAAATGCTGTAAACCTTAACTGCATTAAAAACCACATTTAACCATTTCTGCACAGACTTCTACTGTCATGTGGAAGAATACTCTCACCTTGCTGAAAACAATGGACATGAGGAAGAGGTCCAGCAGCAGCGTCTCGGACAGATGGCGGTAATCGAAGGTGAAAAACAGGACAGTGAAGAGAATGGTCACATACTGGTAGGTGGGGCTGCTGTAGCAGGAGCGAAGCAGCTTCAGGCCGGCTATCGTGATCATCAGAGCGCCGACCCTGGAATGGCAGAAATTATTTAAGAGCCTTGAATTATTTCATTTTTTCAATAGCAAAAAACACTTTTAACTAGATTAAACCTATTTATCTGGGGAGAGAAATCTGCTGCTTTAGACACAAAACCGTTCTAAACTGCGCCTGCCGTATACTGCCATCAGTAATGTGATGGGTATGTTACTTTAACTTGACATAAACTCCTATCATTTCTATACTAATTCAACTGACCATCTGAAATGAGGTTTTTCTCCTCTGACTTTAAAGGGATTAGTCAATTAATAGTCGATTTAATGAGACAGTAAGGGATGCTATCAATTCTTCTTTTAAGTTTTAAGCATTTACCATTCTGAGGTGAGTCAAACACTGAAATATTTGGTGTGAGATTAAGTCCTTAGAGGGTCATTGGAGTAATATTTGCATCAGTTTGGTATATACATTTAAGAACAGCACTCGTTTGGGGACAGAAGGGGAATTTTGTGGCATCACTTCCGAAAAAACAAATGGTCTATTTCTATAGTGTCCAATTTGCTATGGAGGACCAGCACTTGTCAGGCTGAACCCAAGGTGAAACTTTTTAGACATCTTGAATGGGTAAGAAGATAAATATGGGTCCTAATCCAGCTGACGGGCCATTGGCTAAAATATACAAGTTTCAGTTACATGTCATATTTTGATGCCAGGAACAGGAAGTTGTGACCTTTCATCAAATGGAAAGAGAGAATAATTTGATATTTGTTTTGCTTTCTATGTACTCATGTGTCCTCTACCAACTCAATTAAACTCTTATTCTTGTGATTTGATGCAACTACAATGAATCTTTTATCGTTTAATCAATCTTTACTCATATTGCCAATTCCAGTAGAAATAGTTTGGTTATAGCAAACACAGACAGAAGTAAAGATAAAAGGACATTAATGAAATGCAGCCTGCTCACTCAGTGTCAAGTTTCTTTGGACTGGCGAGTTCCCTGGCGCTTCCACTCAGCTCATTAAGGATGACCAAAGGATAGAGAACATTTTTCTCTACAAACAGCAGCCAAACGTGGAGCTTCTCGAACCACATAACATGAGCTGCATCTAAGGAGAGAGGACAGGTTTAGAGTTTAGTTGAGCTGGACGTCAGGGAGACCTAAAATGCTGCATTCAATGAGCCAACTGACGGCGGACATCAGTACTACAAGTCATATTTAAACTTCAAACCTCAATATGTTTTATTTTGATTTCATAAGCACAAAGTGGCAAAAAAAATAGCAAATAGGAAGGAAAATGGTACAATTAAAATGCCTCTCCAAGATAAAAAGACCCACCATTGCATATTCCTCTTAAAAAACATAATGGGTGGTGAAAATCTGCTCTCATTAATTGACATATCATGGATTATAGTGATTAGCAGACTTGGATGATAAATTATGTTAATTCAATAAAGAGGACTGTTTTCCATATTTTAACCATTTTTAAAAATGGTAATAGCCAGTTTTTAAGAAAAGTATATGACAAACATTTTAAAATTTGAAAAAGAATGTTTAAAACTATTTACACCCATGAAAATAATCTTGGCTTTGTTGCAATAAATTTTTTCCAAGAGGTTTTCCTTTTTTATTGTTCATTTGGAGAACTAACTTGTGTGAGGAGGTCAAAGTTTATCTCCCTACATGATTCTCCATCACATTTAGGACTCTGCTTGAATTATGATTAAATGTTAACATTAACATTTGCTGAACATAGATCCCATATACCTAGTGGATTGATTACTAGAAAAAAAACTAAAAAAAAACATTTCCATCTGCATCTGCCATTTGGCAGGGTAATTCTTGTTAGTTTTAGGAAGACTCCCCAGGAGGTTTGACCTCCTTACACAAAGCATAGTACCGGCATAGAGATCTTTATGCAGAGTCCTTCTATAATCAGCAGCCCAGTTGTTGCAGTCCAAGCACTTATTTGATAAATTAATACTGCATGCAGCGCATACATAGCAAGTTATTGATTAATGATATTATCCACTAATCAGTAATTGATAAGCAGACTTTTCCTTCAAAACCACAATGTATTGTGCCAGTGGATTTAAACATTAACTGAATAAACAGCATGTTTTCTTTCACAATAAACATTTTTATAAGGTAAAACAAAACAGGAACCGATTAGGTAATTGAATACATATAGAGAAACTCTTATTATTTCCAATGCACAAAGATACAAAAATATAAATAAAAACAAAGGCTGATATTTAATGAGTTTATCTAGTGTTTATATTTACAGATGGAACACATTAAGTTAATTCTGTCCCCTCTTAAATAATCCCCAACTCCACTCTGGCATTACTTCTCCTGTAAACATAGATCTATGCCTGTAAACACCTGAGGCCACCTCAGAATGAACAGCGGCCCCCTCTAGTGGATGTCAGTAACACTACATTCCTTTTAACTGGACATTATTAATTGGTCAGATGGAATAAACATTTTTCTAGTAAACCATTAAATCAACATTTGATTCTAAGTCAGTTCTTTGTTTACATCCCTAATAGAGTAATATTAAAATAATCCAAACTGCAGCTCAAATTTAAACCAAAAACCAAAACAGATATTTTTCTCATTAAAGCTTCATAGCAGCTTCCCTTCCCAGTCTCTGCTGAGGAAAAACCTCTGCACAGGATGATGCTACCCCACCTACACTATAACAGGTCTGAGACCTCGAGAAGAGAATCCTGTATAAACAAATGATTAAGAATAATAAAAATTCGCCATTTAAAAGCAACTGGTTGTGTTGGAGTTTATTTAAGGGTCATCACAACAAAAAGCTCTGATTAAAAAAAAGCAGCCCACTTTTCGGATTCTTATCCATAAGCAATTCTATAAAACGTATAATCTTTTAATTCGTTTTACAATATTTGCTACTTTGTGATGGGGATTCACATCAAAGTGCTATACACATCACCTAAATGTATAATATGACAAAAAGAAAAAAGGGTTAGGGCTGGTAAATTTGTCCTTAAAATCAAAAAAGTATTAAAAGAAAGAAACTGAATCATTTCTTAGTCCAGCTAAGTACAGCTGTGGGTGAACATGAGATGATTCATAAAAGTAGAATTATATTCCAGCATAACCCATCTTGACTAATCTTCTATCTCCTCTGAAGTCTTGATATTATTAATCCTGCTCAGCCCTAGCATGAGTTAGGATGGATTGTGCGTTTACCTCTGACTTCAAACTGATAGTACTCCTTTGTTTTGAGCAACGGGTGAGAGAAGCAGTACCAGGGCAACTGCTTACGGACTTGTGGGAGCAGGTAGTGGGTCAGCAGTCCCACCGTCCCCAGCAGAGCGTACAGAACATAACTGAGAAAAGGCTATAAAAACAAAGACAACACAAGGCAATTTTTAAATCAAACAGTAACATTTCTGAAGCTAAAAACCTCTTCAGAAAAGGACGTTTGCTTTTTTTCCTGTTATAGGGTCTCCTAACACAAACAGAATCCTATTAAATCATTAACTCTGGCATAATAATTGACTTTGCAGGCATTTGTAGTTGTAAGAGCTAATATTATTACTGTACCTGTAGCGCTATGAACACTGTGCTGACATGTATGGCAAAGTAAAGGACAGCAATGACCACACAGACAATCAGGTCCGACTGCAGGCGCTCATTCTACACATTTGAAAAGAAACATCCGGCATGAGATGAGAAATCGGTATTAACAGATGTCATGCAGCTGATGTAAACCTAATAGGTTAGAAGACAGAATGCTTAACTCACCACCGAGGCCCTCAGCTTGTCAGGCAGAGGGTCCTGCACCTCAGAAAGGGGATCCTCTGGGTTCTTGTCTCTTAAATTTGGTAAAATCTTGGACTGTATCAGTGAGCTGTGAAGTTAGAAGAATAAACACCCTGTTTAAACACCATAGTGATCTGAAGCTTGATTATTAAATAAAGTTTTCTCCAAGATAATCTTTTTAACTGATCTGTAAAAAAACACAAAAATCCAACGTAAAGATTCTACTTAAGTCTAAATGGAGCAGATAAACTCCAATGACGGTTTTTTCTCTTGCAGAAATCCATCCAATATAGCTTCCATGAAAGCCTTTTTATTGCATCAAAATCTCACAAATATCTTTGCTTCAATTCCAACATATTTTTCATTTACAAATATCCTACTAATTGGACTTTAAAATATCCCTAGCAATATAAATAAAGTCATTTACATACAAGTTTATAGACATAAAACCTGAAGCAGTAGTTTGTTGAAATTCACAGCAATGCTTATCATGTTAACTGTTCTTTTTTTGTTTTGATTTGTTTATTTGTCTGCAGATAAAATAAACAGAATAGGTTGTTTTCCATTTGCCATTTTCTCCATTTCTTACCCTCATAATCCAGTAATTTTAGAGAAAACATTTTCAGGCGCTGAACAGGGAATTTTATTACCTTTATTTTTAATCTGAAATAATAAAGTTCACATTTTTTGTGAGGTTTTTGCTTAATTACTGCTCTAAATAGATACTCCTTTAGCAAAAAGATATAGTTTAGAGTCTATATTCTATTACCAAAAATAGTTGATGATTATTTTTATAATCCATTAATAACTTTTATTCTTATTAATCTTTTCAGGTTGACAACACAATCATACTTTGACTTTATTATATAAAAAAAAAGTCTTAGTAAAGACAAAAATACACATATTATTAAACTGCTTCCTTAGCCTGATGAAATTATGTAAGTGGTCTTGTGTTTTAGTTTTCATTTTGGTTGATGCAAAACCTAACTGGCCAGCAGGCTGACTTCTAGTATTATAGCAATGAAAGAAGCCAGATGTTTTAAAATAAAATAAAAAAAACATAGTTGATGTGAGAACAGGGCTTACATGAGGACAGAAGGGTCGCTGCTTTGCCTGCTCAGGTGGTAAGAAACCGCCACCAAGAGGCCACAGAAGACAGAAAACAACACAGGGATATGATGCGGCTCCCAGGTCTCCTGCAGCAAAACAAGATTTGAATTTGTATCAACACAAAGCTTCAAAACAAAACATCTACCTGGATGGTGAGCTAATTTAAGAAAGAAAGGAAACCAGCAAACATGCGACTATGTTTTCACTGTCGTATTCAGCTTGGTCGGCTCTTACCTTAAGAGCTCCATAGCAGAAGCCGTAAAGCAGAGCAACAGTGACAACACTGCGCAGGATGCTGTACAGCGCCGACAGGAGACTCGTACAGGCTGCAGAAAAAGAAGACGGGCCGCGGTGAGACGATCTGAACAGACAGGAACTGTGTCGGAGCACTGAGCAGCGCTCCAACACAGCCTCTTATATTACAGTGTCATAAAGTGTGTGAGGACGTTTGCCATCATCCTGCAGAGGTCAAAGACTTATCTACTGCTGCTCACCATTGCCCCCGAACACATGGATGTCCAGCTGCTCAAAGAAGTACATGACGAATGTGTTGACTTGTGGCAGTAGCCCCACGAAGAACACGATGGGAAAACACAGAGTGAAGACTGCAGGGAGACGCATACAAGGTGACTTTGACTTTTAACACATCTTTAAGAAGAGAAAATGTTGAATAGCAAAAAAGCTGATTTCCTATCTTATGAAGGAGTGCATTTTATATAAACACTGAATACAATCCCCAGAAGGAAGTGCACTTACATATAACAAGGTCTCTGGCGGACGCCAGCAGTAGTGAGCTGGTGAGAGCGACTCCATACAGGGTGAAGCGGGGTGAGGTGATCCTCAGACTGCCGTGGTGCAGCAGCCAAATGAGGCCGCAGCACAGGCAGAAGTAGACAGGCCGGCTGTACGCTATGATACGATTGTGACCCTGCAGACACGAGGAGGCGATCACATTCTTAGACCATAACAGATCTCAAACTATAGTTCAGTAAACTGGTTTCTAAGAGCCATGTGTAATTGTTCCCTAATTCTGTCATGCTTTTTATTGGAGAATTTAAGATAAGTGCAGAACTGTAAACTACAAAAAATGAATTCACTGGTTTCAGTATTATATCTGCTAAATGTTACCTTCCTTTTTATTCTGCCCCCTTTAAGCTAATGCCCTTAAATAAAAAACACACATTATTTACCAACCAGCCTGGCTGGTAAATAAAATGTAGTGTTGTAATAGTGTTGATCTGTTCCCTAAAAATACAGTTAAATGTTAATGACTACCTATAAAATTAATCCAAAGGAAAAAAAAGGTGACCTCTGAGGAATCGGAGCCCCTTAGACCTGTCCCAAGGGATAAAAAGCAGCAGCATTGGGTGTAATGTTTCACTGTGGATAAAGGAGGCTGGCTGTGCAAGCCTCCATCGGACGTTATGACCTGCTCTGCATTCTACCAGTTCCAAAAGAATGTGTTCATTTTCTATCTATTCACTTTCTGTCATCATTAAAGGGGGAACATCCAAAGTCCTGAATGTGAGCCCAGGGAAAACAAACGGGGACAACAGCGGGTAAAGGGAGAGAAAGTAAGATACAGAAAAAAAAAAGAGAGCCTAAACTCTCAGCAGCTATTTAAAGCTTGTGCCTGCAGCTGAGTAAGAGCTGCATTAATAAAAGACGGTGTTTCAGAGCAGCCTACTGACGCAAAGGGGCAGGGGGAGGGGGGGACTCGGAGGAAAAGTGGCATCATTTTCCAGAGGCCAAAACTGTACTGAAAGATAACTTCATATTGCAGAAATGATAATCCAGATTGTTTTTAATTCTTCTTCATGGTAACTGATTCATTTTAGAGAGCTCGGGAAATGAGCCTAATTCATGAATTCATCCCCAGAGTCTTAAGTAGTGGAAAATAAATGGGTAATAATTACGTACATGTCTGGGAGAGGAGGAGTCTGGCTGAACACTCTGCAAAAGAAAGGAGGAGTGTTAAATCTGGAGGAATGTTGATGCATTGTGAGCAAACATGTATTTTTTAGTATTTCTAAACAGTTCTGACAGAGGAAGAAAAGACGACACTTCTGAGCAACGCAGACACTCCCTAAGGGAATGCTGTGCTTTCATGTTTTTCCCCGTGCGTCAAAGCGAATGAGAGCAACGTTTGAACTGCTTACTTCAAAAAGTGGCTCTCTGTTTCACGTTTTAAGGTCAGGTCGATGTTACGCTGCCGTGTGGAGCGCTCACCTTCAGCAGGGAATACTGGCAACTTGCAATGACGAGGCAGAACTGAAAGACCCAGATGTCAGTGAAGAAACCGTGGACGAGCAGCACGGAGCCCAGGAAGGCCACGAGGACGGCCAGGACCACGGCAAGCACGTTTTCTAAGACTTCGCGGTTCCTGAAGGAGCAACAGATATGTACAGTTCTTCAATAAAAAAAAAGTTATTATGTTGTAGACAAGGGAAGAAAACAAGGAAAACATAAAATCATGGATCAGTGAGCTGAAAGAGGTGAAAAGTCTGAGTTTAAGCTGCCAACCATGAAAAGGTCATTCAACTGACATTGAGAAGAAAAAAGGATACTTGTTGGAGCACAACTAGAAGCAATAATGGTGCATTAAATTATTTCTTATTATATGTCCTAAAAATTAAATAACAGGAAAAGCCAACTAGATAAAAAAAGCTACATCTAATTTCAGAACTTTTAGACTGTTCTCCCTTGAATGCATCAAATGCTGCCCTCTGGGAAGAGGCTATGCAGCATTCGATGCAGATACAGCATATTCTGAAACGGCTTCTTCCCCACTGCCATCAGACAGCTGAACTGTTGAAAAAACTCATGTCACAGACTCTGCATCACACTGACAACACCAAACATAATTGCACCATATATATTTAATGCTCTGAACTTCCATATCAATGCATTTTTTTTTTTGCACCATGTTTTTTCTCCCCCACTGTTTACATTTGATGACTGCTGCACTTTAAAAAAATGGAAATGTCATGAGTGCTGGACAAAACGAAATTTAGTTTTGTCTAAACTCTGTGTATGCAAAATGTTTTCTAAGTCTTAGACTGAGGGAGGATGGGTGTAATGCAGTGTGGTTTGAATCAGAGAGCTGTTAGCTAACTCAGCTGCTGTCCAGCTTGAAACTGTTTCATCACTGCTTTCCTCTGTTAATGTTCTTCCTTCAGAAAACAGCATAGGTTATTTCACATTCCATCTCGCCAAGCAGCGGGCATTGAAATAAAATAAGAGATGTTAGGTTTCCACTTTTTAAATCACTCCACAGAAACCTCTGAATCTGGTGCTAGCAGGCTAACAACTAGCTTTCATCCAAAAGCTAAGCTTACAGATAACCTTATATTGACCATCTGGCGCACCGTGGCTTGAAGAGTTTTCAAGCATTGGATGCTGAGCGTTTTGACCTTTAAATCGTTCATACGCATTCAAAGTGTCAGGTGCACGAGTTATAAGATCTGAAATTTTGCAGCTTGAAGCAGTGTGAGAGCCAATCACAGAAGCTGATTTGGGAGCTGGCAAGAAGACAGACACTGCATCCAAGCAGTGATTTCTGTTCCTGCAGGGCTGTCAGCATATAACAAGTCAAAAATATATAAAACTAGTACACACTGGATTTACAGAAAAAGCCATGAGAATGAATATCTTCATGCACAAAGTAAAGAAAGAGTACTCTTATCACTGCACTATAATATTTTGTTACTCAATTATGGTGAAACAGTTTAAAAATATCTACATTCATTTAAAATCTCAAAACCAAAATATTTTTGACCTTTATTTAAAAGTAGGATTATAATCCTGATGAGCTAACTGCATGGAGGACATTTTGAGTTTTTTTTCTCCCTTAAAAGCATCTTAAAACTATTCTTTTGCCAAACTTATCAGAGCAAATAAATCAAAGCTACTTTCTCCATTGCACACTCAGATGGGTCTGAACAGGTCTCAGCATGAGAAGCTCGCTGAGGTCGTCAAAAACATTGAGTGCATCCATTTTCAATATGCATAAGGGTGCTGGACGCCTTTTTGAAGCATTCAAAATCCGCTTAATGTGAACAAATAAACATAAAATAGATTATACTTCACAGATATCCTAGGTAAGGGAAACAGTTCGAATTCGCATTGGGTGTATTTCTTACCTGACTTTACTGATGTATTGAAAAAAGTATATCTGTAATTTTTTCCCAGCACATTCCTTTCATCAGATTCCAAACTCGGAGAACCAATATGCTGGTTCCTGCTTATTGAAAATTGATCTACAGACATGGTTTTTATCCATTTTCATTTCCAGACTTTATTCAATGATGTTCTCCTGTAAAGTCTAACCAAGCAAACTATTATTGGCCCAGAGATTAAAATCTGAATCAGGCAACCTACATGGCAATAAAGGCAAATGATTAACATCCAATACAGACCAGTGGGGGGTTTTATCCAAAAACAAATAAAATAAGCCTCCATCTCATTTTTAACATCATTAAACAGGACTATGTCACCCTCAGATAAAGGTTTGCAACTTTTACTTTACAGATAGGCAAAGACTTTAAAAACTCAATGTTAAGAATAATAAGAAAAAGATGACAGTGTAATCTTTTCTGGCTTACCTGTCGAACAGCGCCAGCAGGGTAAGCCGGTCAAAATGAAGCCCTACCCACAAGTAAGGGAGAAGCCACAGGCGGTAGTACTGTTTAGCTTTGCCAGCAGGAGCAGAGGCTGCAGCGCTCTCTTGTCCCAACGGAGCATCTTGCAGCTCTGGGCTTAGGTCTCCGTCTTGCTGCTCCAATAGCTCTGGGTCCATCGTCAGCAGGCGATTTAGACGGATCTGATGGAGGAAGAACTGTCTTATATTCAGTTAAACTTCCCTATGGTGAAATCTGACCAATAAAACAAACTCAGGGAGGACTCCTTCCTTCCCTACATATTAGAACATACAAAGATGAGGTAGAGAACGCTATGAAACCAACAGCTTCCACCGGTAAATTAAGGTAAAATGTTTTGGTCTCACATAACCAGGAAATCTCTTAGGTTGGTAACTCACCAGGTCATGAGGGTAGAAGCGAACTGAGGTAGAACTGGAGAGGTGGGAGTCCGTTTCCCTGCACAGCATTAAGACCAAAACACCAGATGAAGAAACGCATCTGTGTACTAATTCAAATCCTAATCTTGTGAAAACATCAAACTAAGGAGGCAGTCACTGGATGCTCTTGGAAAGCACAACTAATTAAAATAAAAAGTCTCAATTAGATACCAACCACATATTGTTGGAGGCTCGTCTGGTTGCAGGTTCAAAATTGACCAAGGACATGTCACATCCACCAGCCTCATATAGGGAGGGAGTGAGCTTTCCTAAGGAGACACAACAGAAGAACACAGTCAGTCCGTGGGACACTGAACACAATAATAAACAAATTATTTTGTTAAGCTCTGTGTTTACATGCAGAAAATTAAATGGCTTTGGAAACATTCTGCAATGTGGACATCAGAGCTAACAAGACCACAGAGATGGAGCTTCTCCCTAAGAAGCTGTCATTGCCAAGGCGTCTTGAGAGGCATTAGACTGCCCTCAATATATGCCCCTTTCTTAGTTCATCTTCAACTGGGACAAAGGGGAAGGAGAACAATATAATTTTATTGCGTGCAGAAAAGGGGTCCCAATAACTGGAAGGAGATCATTGCATCATGTCCTCTTCTTGGAATCGAAATCCTCATTTTATATTCCCTTTTAACAGTTTCCAACAACTGTAACATTTACAGAAATGTCAAATACAGCAATCCTTACGGTCCAAGAGGAACACAAAATGCTGCCATGGTAACACTATCCAGTTTGTGTTAATATTTGCTTCGACTTCAAGTGCTGAGTGTGATGTAAATGTCATGAAGTGATTTGCAAAACTAAAGCAAAAAAAAACATGTCAATAAACAGTTGCCCTGGAGTCAGAACTCTGTAGAGGCTTGTCTGACTTTAAACAAAGCAAAAGTACATTTTCCTCTGCTCGACTCATCCTGCGTTTTGTTTTTAGAAACCATCTTTGAGACATTTTTTAAGCCTAGAACGTATGTCCTGTTTATCTAGGGTAATCTGATCAGGTTATGACCTGCTGTGCAGAAGATACAAATGTTGAGAGAACCTCAGGAAAAATGTTTTCTCAACCCTGTACAAGCAGCTGGCCTTCATTTCTCCCTGAAGTAAAAAACCTAGTTTCCTTGTAATCATGTGGAAAGTCAGCCACAGGCAGAGGAGCTGAATAACACGAAGGTTTGATCCATCAAAAAGAGAACAAGAGAAAGAAAGACAAAAAGAAAGACAGAAAGAAAGAAAGAAAGAAAGACGCAATAGATGGGACATGAGGTTAAAGGTTTAAGGATACAAGTATTGGAGATAGGACCCATATAGTAAAGAAAGAAGTACTCAGTATGCAGCCTTTTTATTTAAAACATTTGGGTTCCCTGACTTCCTCTGATTATCTCCATTTGTTTCTCCACGGTGAAGAAACCACAATCAGTGTTCAGCGTATCTGCAGAAAAAATATCAATGTGTTCAGCTGTGATCAAAGCTTAAAATCAACACTGGAGTGGGGACAAGTATCAGCTTCAGTCATAACCAACCACAATAAATGGAGCATGCATAATGTCAATGGGCTTTAACTGATTACGACAGCCCACCAACCGTGAATAATAGGTGCTCTCCTATGATGGACTGAGACAGCCATGACCGTGACCAGGTCCCTCTCAAACCCACTTTGAAATGCATCAGACAAGACACCTAAAAATCACAGTGACAAAGCCTAAACACAGGACACAAGGCAAAATGCTTACATTACTGCATAAAAATATTCCCACCCCTAGATCCTGTCAGTTCAACAAATAGCTTCAACCTTTTTTAATTAAGATATAAAGTGATAAAACAACAATGGGCTGCTATTCCTTAGTAGCTTCTTTCTGCATTCTTAGGGTTTTTTTCTTGCTGGAAGGTGAACCTCTGCCTCTGTCTCAAACCTTCTTCAACCTCTGACTGCTTCTTTTAAGGATCACTGAGTATTTACCTTCATCCATCTTACCGCCAACGATGACCTGCTTCGCATCACAGGATGATACTGCTGCCATGAGAGTATATTATGCTCCATGGGCGCATTGGGGTCACCTATTTTATTACCGCTTCATATACTGTGATTTTATTTTTTAGATTATTTCTCTCACAGTGGACATGCACCCATGATGACAATTTCAGACCCCTCCATGATTTCTAAGTGGGAGAACTCGCAAAATAGCTCACTGTATATGTAAACCTATTCCACCCAGTCATACACACTTTTTTATCCACTGCTCTTAATTTGCTTCTTACCAAAGTCATCTTGTAAGCTGGTGGCGCCCACAGTAGAGGCCTTATCCTGAGAACCCTCCAAATGCGTGCTTCCGTTCCTGGCCAGCAGGGACACACTTGCGCTCAGCACTGTCACCTGGGACGGGGTTCTGGATGGCTGAGTTTTCACCAGGGAGGAAGAAGGCTGGGAGGCCTGGCTGAGAGCCTCCTGAAGACTGTTGGAGGACAGGGTAGAGGGGGATGAAATAAGTGGTGGGATTATTTCTACAACAGAGAAACACTGAGGGACAAAACTGTATTTTAGCGACATGATTGGAGCTGAACAGATAAATATGAAAGCAGCATTACACACACACAAAAAAAGATATTGATATGATAACGTTTTAACAATTACCCAACTTCCAGGTCAAGTTCAACCAACTGACTTAAAATTGGTGTAAAATTATTCTACTAGACTAAACAGAATAATCACATTCATTTTTATTCCATTTTAAGCCTTCTTATTGATCCATCGACCGACACAGATTTTGGTTCAGTGGGTCTCGTAAGCTGGAAGCTATTGAAAAAAATGCTACATTTTGATTTAAAACCTGTTAAAATATGAAAAAGACTTTGGATTAAATTAAAATGGGTTTGCCTCATTTATTTAATGGAGTAGCACAATTTACCACTGGTTCTGTTTCCGTTAGGTTCCTTGTCTTGTGACTATCTAGGATTCTCAAGAGTGTTTGGTTTGGAAATGTATTGACGGTCCTGCACCACTGCACGTGAGAAGAGGGAGCAACAGAGAGTGGCAGGCCAAAGTCTGACTTCCTGAACTGGTGTTACAACAGAAACTATGATCAGTCATAATCTGTGACTCTTAACGCCTGCTACGATGGAGTCTCCTCACCCGTCTGCTATCTACTAACCCCAACTTAACAGGATTATATGTTAATCTAATGTCATAAAATGAATACCTAAACCTAAAGTCACAAGACTAATACCTAAACCAAAAAAAGTCTGTTGTGAATTACATGTACTGCCCCCTTGGGTCGCAATATCTGATTCTTCATGCCTCTCAGATTAACTGCTTATTTCCTAGCCACCTAGTGGCCATTTCTTTAACCCAATTATTATTTCTGTACAGCTCACAAATACACGTAAATAGACAGCTATAGCATAATAAAAGGTAGATCTAGCTGTATGCGTTATAACTAAGGGATGCTGAGCTACACCATTTTCCACAGAAAATTGTCTTTTCCAGTTCTGCACAAGTATAGATTGAAATAATATCAGTGGTAGAAGAGCGCTAGACTCAAATGACCCACCTTTTCACCAGCATTTGAAGGCAGCAGATACACAGAAACATGGATCTCTCTGAAAGCGTGAAATGTGTCTCAAAAAACTTTGTGTCTTTTTGTATCTATTTTGAAACACAATTCTTTCCATAGAATTAGACCAGAATCTACTTGATGGCCAAAAAACTAATTAAATGCTTCTTTTTTTGTACAAGATATTTTTTTTAAACTTAAAAACATTTCAAAGTCCACGATTGAATAAACACCACATGCATGTTAACAGTGTGTGTCTGCCAACTCTGACCAGCCTTGCACAAAGTTGAGAAATTCTGCTGATAAATTTAGAACACATAATCAAATGAGAAAACGCCTAAGAAAGTCAAAGCATAGGCAGTGAGGGACTGTGGAAGAAAGAGTCCTTTTGCAAGTTTATTGACCCCTGGCAGGCTGCTAACTTGTTTATCCTGCTTGACATTTTTGAAGTTTCAGCAAGTAGAAATAGGAGCTCAGGAGACAGCAACAAGAGAAAATAGATCGTCTGCAAAGGGGGAATCATTGGCAGACGGACTGAAGAACTGTCCATGTTCTCCATGTGGATTAAAAATGTGGATGTTTTCTGATTTAAACTGTAAAGGTGCTATTGGTTGTCAGCAGGATACAACATCCAGTTAAGACAGGGTGTCCATAATTAGGAAGCGTACATAAAAGTTGAAAGGGGAACTATAGTTACAAATGATTTCAGGATGAGTGGAAATAAGATGCTTAAAACACCATGGCAACACTGTACTGGTGACCTTTCCAGAGATCATTAGGGCTATAATAATGAAATCCTAAACATGCATTACCATTTAAAGAATTAATTAAAGTAGACGTGTAAACACGCAAGATGCGTCTTCTGATACTAGCTGGTTAGTCAGGCAGTCTGCTCAGGTAGACTGCCTGACTAAGCTCAGCTGCTTAACCCTCATGTTGATTCCTATCAGCTGTTGTGGGTGTGTGTGTGTGTTTTGTGATTAGAATGAGACAAAGTTGCTTGTCCTGTAAGAGAGTGTAAAGAGTGTTCTTTTTTCACCAATTTTTTTAAAGCCAGCTAACCAATTATTTCACAGCAACATATAGCTTAATTTGACATCCTAAACATCCTAAAAAATGGAATGGAACATTTTTGCTGTTTGGGATCTGTACCATTATAAACTATGTGTGTACCTTGGTAATGACAAATAGTTTCATGTCTAATGGAGAGAGAAAAAAAAATACATACAAATATACAACAGGCTGGTCGATAAATAGGAAATAATTAGGGGGAAAAAAATAAATGAACAAAAGAGAGCATTTTATGTACAACTTATTTACTTGTAAAAAATGCACATTTGGTGTTAATTTAAAATCTTTGCATTTAGGGGGACCTTGTGTGTTTTATTTGAATAGTGTACTGTGAAATAAGATTATTTTAAAAAGTATGTTTTACATCTTAAATTTCTTTGCCCTTTAAATTAAGGTCACCTCCTAGAAGGGTGGATTGAAATAAAAGTGATGCATTTCATTTTATCACTTTTATTATGAAATTCAAGGTAGAGAAAAACAAAGAATCAGGTTTGATGGGAAAAACAACAGATTTTTAAGTCATATTGCCCACCACTAATTTCTGTTCAATTGTATGCTAATTTAATCTAACAGAGATGTTTTCCTTTAAAACTATAAAGAAAGCAGCAGGAGCTTCTAGTTTGTGAAATAAACAACAAGTGACACTGGCATCAGGCTGGGGAATCAAACCTTTAGTTTTGAAGGATTTCACCCTTTGATGGTTGAAATACAGACATTAAAACATAAAATGGAAAATAACAGGGAGGTAAAGAAGGGCTGTTGGGAAAATAGGGCAAGGAACATAGTGCACGCTCAGTAATGAGGTCATGTTTTGTTTGAAGTCATAGACAGTGCACGATGCACAATGTTGATGTGAGGAGAAGGAAAGAGAACGACTTAGTGAGATGCTCAGACCAACAGAGATACCCCCACAACTGCTACATGGACATCATACCTGAGAGGAGAGCCAATGAGCGAGCTGGGTGGGGTGGGGTTACTTCCTGCGTTGTGCCGCCGCCTCACAGCCTGCCGACGAAACGTGCTGCGTTCTCGACGGAAGACGATCGTCTCCTCACTTCCTGGTGCTGCCATGGTGAGAGATACCACTGGTAGGTTAGCTTAGATGTGTTTCATTTTCCAGACACATTCATGAAGATTCTTGAAAATTCTGTTGGCCTTTGCCATTTTTTAGAGGTTTTTACAGCACTAGTGGAAGGTTTTTTTGTATAGTGGGCTAACAGGGGGAGAGACATACGGCAAAGGACCCAAACCTGGGTTAGCCACGTAGAGGACTAATGCCTCGTAAATAGGTAATACACGTTAACCAATGGGCCACCGAAACACGCTGTCATTCAGGAGATTTTGACTAGCAATGCTATATAACCAAGAAACTAAACTGATGCAATTTAAATGACTTCCTCATAGGTAAAACCTTCAATATTACTTAATTCTAGCAGAACAGTCCAAACCATTAACAAATTGGGGAATCCAGTAAATTTAATGCATGTTAATGTTATAGTATGTTTCTAACATAGTGGTAACTGGGTCATGTTAAAAATAAATAAATGTATAAAATAAACCAATTCCCAGTAAATCTGGTAATGTTTAGATATCCAAACTTCTCATCCGACTTTGAATGTATCACCTCATTGGTGAATCACTCAAAGTTATAAAAAAGTTTTGTAAGTCATAAGCACAGGAAAGCTGAACTGTGCGCCAACATTGACCGACCCATCCACTGCTTGCTGGTGATATGAGAACACGCAATGACTAGTTTGTATAAATAGGGTTCCATTACTTGACTTGTGCAGGTAGTGTAGATAAAAAAAAACAAAAAAACATTTTCTACCCATTTTGTAATGCGTAATGTTAGAATAGGCCTTGATTAAGTGATATTACTCAACAATAGTTGATAACAACAGGCATGAGAACAACCTACCCTGTATAACTAAACAATGGGTTACATAAACTTTAAACAGAAGCAGATAGCAGAGTGTTTCTATCAGCGTGTTTGCATAAGAGATTTTAATCAAGACAGATACAGATATTCGGATTAAGGATGTAAACAAATAATCAGTGTACAATTAATTGTCTATTAATGACTGAGTAGATAAAAATCTGTTCCATCCAATTATCTGATGACATCGGCTTCAAAGGAATTTCACTGTTATGTTACTACCGTCCACCAGAGCTGTTGCTTATTTTTAAACAGAGCCTTACATATATTTACAAGGAATATCAGTGTGGAGACATGCTAGAGCAGAGATAGGCCCCATTTACACTACTATTTGAAAACAGAGTTCAGACTGAGCTTGGATCAGTGATCCATGCCGAGCTCGGTTCCTTACTACCGTTTACACATCATGGTAGCACGGTTCCTCGCCTCCTAGTGACGATCTACAGTACTACTGCGCTCTAGAGGTAAACAAGCAAATCAATGGCGGCACCCATAACAGTCAGAAAGTTTGGTTGTAAATGTGATATTTTGTTGTTTGTGGAGAGCCAGGCGAAGAGGGCAGCCTTTGGTGATTTTGCTTCACAGTGTCGGCTTTTGGGAAGTGGATACGACAAACGATAGTCTAATTACAAAAAACGAAACAACGACAGACGTTGAGGTACATAAATCATCACTTGAAATCATGTGGCACGGTAGGGAAGCTAGTATTTTTATGACTGTCTGAAATTTTATGATTATGGAGGCTAACTGTAAGGTGATGATGCAGTCTGTTCATGCCCTCTTTGTTATCTGAGAACTGAGCCAGAACTGAACCTCGCCGAGCCCTACTGATGAACTAGTAACAGTTTAGCGCGGTTCAGTTGTGTTTGGCACGTTCCAGTTCAGTTTTGCGTGCCATTTACATTTACTGGTTATCTCGGATACCGTGTTTGGACCGATCTGGGCACGGTTTCAAAAGGGCAGTATAAATGGGGCTATAGAATTAAGCCAGAGTCCAGTTTACAATTATTTAGTCATACTGGCGACAAAGATACCGAATACAGTTTATGGGCTTCTGTTTGTAAATATAAACACTCGATAAACTCCTTATCTTATAACCTAAATGGCGCCCATCTTGTGAGGTGAGGATATGATAGAAAAAAAAATAACTAGTAGAGGAAAACATGCTAGCAATAAGCATAGTAGATTTGAAAGGCTTTTGTGATTTAAGATTCCTCTGAAAGCAACCAGAACCAATTGTTCAAAAGCCGTAGTAAGAGCGGTCATTCTCACCAGATTGTTGGATTACAGTACAAAACAAAAAGCTATCTCACAGTTAGAATCCACTTCATTTAAAAAAAAAAAAAATAAATAAATAGTCTGACAGTATTTCAGAGCAATAGGACAGTTTTATATCTCTGGACATTGGAAATAATTAGTCTTTCACATCATTTATTAATCTTTTGTTTTAATCCTGTAATTTTACCTGTTCTGTTATGTCTTATCAATTTAGTAATCTGTAAAAAACATGTTTTTCTCTATTCAGTCAGTATTTTATACATCTGGAACAATATAAAGTTAAAATATAATGATTTTTTTTTTTACTCAGCATATTGTAAAAATAAAAGCCCTTCATATTATGGGTAAGATTCTCTTGATACATCACAAAAACACTTAGCAATTAATCTGTAGTGGATCAATAAGATCAATCAAGTTAAGATTAATAAATCAAATTAATTTACTAATTGATTTTGGCTGATATTTGACCAATTTCTAATATCAACATCAGACCTTGACATCCCTACACACCCTACACACTATATCATCAACAAAAAAATCTATGCTGTTAATTTTTGGTTAGAAAACAACACAGTGAAGAGTTTAAACATTTTTTAAATTGGTGAAGCAGTTTCAGGGCTACTGCTGATTATGATGTGGTGATGACTCAAAAGCTGAAAAGTCAGCGTCCTTTCCCATTTCAAGTCTAATGAAGCCATAAAACAAGAAGAAAATATCGTTCTAAGACCAGAGGAAAACTGTAATAACAGCTCACAAGCTTGAAGACACAGGAAGGGAATAGCACTAATTCTCAACACAACCATGCTAATAAGACGGCATCTGTTTGCTTCACCTCAACAAAGCACACACTGTGCTGTCATACTAATAGTGATCTGCACAGGGAACACTTTGCTTGGGTCAGAATTGCGACTCCATGGAAACTCACCATGGTTACGCTGAATGTGGAAGACCGACAACATTTGCAACATTTGCAATCACTAGCAGGAGCCACTCTGAAACCCTCCCAGTGTCTGGAGGGCCTCACTCAAAACAAGATCAAGTTCATGAACTCTATATTCACGCTCATGTTAATAAACTTAAATAGCAAAAGTTGACCCAAAGTTTCAACAGGAAGCGCGCTCCCAAAATAGGGACTAACAATCTTCAAGTATCAGGACATTTGAACTTTAAGAGCTTCTAAGTGAACAAGACATGGAACAATATTCAAAAGAGATTATAACCTGATAAACAAAAGTATAGTTATAGATAATATTTAAAAGTATCTAGGACGACCTGTTAATAGAGCATTTAAATAAGATCCAAGCTGTTTGGTACAGACCTCGAAACGAAGCTGCAGTTGCATCCTGAGGCTCGGCGAAAGCTGTCTGGTTGGGCAGGCTGTTTCTGGAGCGGGTCACGGATTCCAGCTGGGAGGCCCTACCCAGCAGAGACGCGGCATCAAGGACTTCCCCTTCTTTGGCTTCCAAATCCGACTTGGAGGTGGTGAGGGGCCGAGGCCCAGACGGAGCTCCTAAGCGGTTGGGATCGTTAAGGCAAGCGGCGGTGCCACTGTCCAAACTCAATACTCTGGCGTGCGTTCTGGCACTGCCTGTGCTGGGCATACGGCGGGAAGCACGGCGTTTCCCTCTGGGTCGCACCTCCGCCTCACAACCTCCTGGATCCTTTACTGTGGATGGGGATGAGGAGGTGACACCAGCATGCTTGGATTTCACGGCCTTGAGGTGGCTCTCTGGTGAGAGGCAGGAGGTGCTGGATGAGCTATCTGTACTTAGTTGGTTGTTGGAGTGGAGACTGGAGGCACAGCTGAGTTCACTTTGATCACTATAATCGTCTTCTCCTCCTCCAGTAAACACAGCACTACAGGGTTTAGCCATTCCACGCAAGGACATGTGATCCCGACGACGGCTGGAATCAAAACTGCTTGCTCTTTTCTTTCCTCCATGCCGCCGTCCTCTGCGCCCGGCTGACAGAGAGGAAGTCCTTTGAACGCTGGTTTCGGGTTTAAGCTGACCCTCGTCTTTTGCTTTATCCTGCTGTGTCCCAGCTACACCCGATGAGCCATCAGCGCTGGTCCTGATACCAGGTTCCAATGTGCTTTGGCCAGGTTCCACTTGCTCCTGGGTTGTAGAAGTAGCAGTAGCAGTCTGCTTTGCTGTTAGCTCATTAGCATGTGGGTTTTTATTGGCCTCTCGAGAGGGAACACTGCAGAGACCTCTAGAGCCAACACTGCCGAGGCTAGAGGTCGGTCCCTCTACAGGAGAGGGTACGGCCTCCCTGTCCCGTCCATGCTCATCCCCTGAAAGTGAGAGCAGGCTCTCCACGTGCGTAGAACTGGTTTGTTCACTATGAAAGCTGCTGACCGTGCTGTTGGTGTCCCTGTCTGTCCCACTGCAATAGCTCTCAGTGGAACCACTGCTGCGGGTACTTAAACTCCTCAAGCTATCAGCACTTCGCTCTCCTGCGCGAGATTTCCCACCCCCAATTGAGCCTTTCCTTCCTGCTCCCATGTCTCCCTGGTAGAGCCCTGAGCTACCTTCTCCCGCCTCTCTGGAGGCAGAGCGAGCCACTTTGTGCAATTCTTTGTGCCTGCAGCACTCCTGCCCCGAGGTGGAGGGCACAGCTTGATCCTGCTGGTAAAGCTGCTCTCTGTCACACAGGGCTGGTCTTTGAGGTCTTGCGGCCTCCAGCTCACAAACAGTGTCGAGGCCACCTCTCCTTGGTGGAGGGTACAGGGCAAAGTCTGGGAGACAAGGGTCGGGAAAAGCAGAGCCCGATGAGCTCGAAGTCCGAGGCAGACCCCGAGAGCGGAGCTCCTTTCTGAAGGCCTGAGACTGCATGGATGTGTGAGAGGCCACCTCTGTGTCACAAGACGAATGCGACAGGCTGAAATGATAAGCAGCAGAGTTACACGTGTCACCGGCCTCCCTCGACAGCTCTGAAGGACACAAGGAGGTGGATGGCTGCAATGAGGCAAAGGAGTCATTGGGAACATAGCAGTACATCTTTGTTTCTGACAGCAGGTCTATAAAGGAAACACAAGAACCAAAACCATCAGATGAGATTCAAAAGTGTCATTTGAAAGCTCTGCTTCTTTTAGCTTATTACCATGATCATGGCTGCAACTCTCAATGAGAGTCAAACTGATGTCATCTGAGGTCTTTCCCACATCACCTGCAGTGACAGAAATAAAGCAATGAGAATACAGATTTATGAATTTATTCCACCACCACTAGAAATGCACAAAAACAAAAAAAAATCAGCTGAACAGGCTAGCAATTTTTAACCTGATCCGCCAGCTAGAAAAAAAAAAATAGATATCAACTTTTTTTTTTCACCATTAAGTAAACGCATCATGGTTCGTACTACGCTCTTCAGTGTAGATGCTATTACTGAGAAAAAAAAGACTTAATGTTACTTCTATATAATCAGCAAGGCTTTTTAAAATGAAATCTAAAGGATGCATAGAGATGAAAAAACTACAAGTTTTTTAGTCAAATGTTTAGACATTCAAAATTATTTCAAGTTTTTTTACAGAGTACTTTTAGTATACTTTTAGGCTGTCATTAAACAACACAAATTCAAGGATAAAACTCTATATTTTCCAGGAAATATGCAGAAAGAGTTATATTTCTGTTGGATTACCATATTAGCTGCTAATAAAAAGTCATATATTAATTTGTATTTCATATTAAAAGATTAGTAATGCTGTTTTTTTTACATCAATTTCTCCTTCTCTCATACGCACACACATTGTGATGCTATCTCTGCTCTGCATATAAATAATAATAAGCCAATAACCATAGCAGGCTAATAAAATATTTACAATAGTATCCCTACATCTATTATAATAGTTTTCTAATTTCAGTAGGTCAGAGCTTTGTAAAATCCAGACAGTATATATTCAGGATCAACGTGACCCGAGCATCCTTAACAGCCACTAGTTCTTAGATTTAACATGGGCAAAAGGTTGTTATATTAGTGCTTAACTATTTTGCCAAAAGATTATATTTGGGATTTTATTTTGATTTTCTTCACTTATCAAAAGCCTCAGATGTGTCACACCAGTGATTTATTGTTTTCATGACTTTGAAAGCGTGCTTGTCCACATTCCATTGCCTCAGAATTTACCTTTACTGTAACATGGAAAACTGCTTACTCCTACTGGAATGCATGGATCTACACACTAGCTGCAATTGTCTCTTTCCTTTTGTGAGGCAGTAAACCCACTTTAAGTGTATTACTGCCACTGAAAGGACTGGAGTTTGGAAGGTAGTGCGTTAATCTTACTAAATGAGATGCAACCTTGATTTAACTCCTCTGAGATTTGAAACTGTTGTAAAATTGTGATTAGTTTTCAAATACAATTCTTAGCTGTATTCTAAATAAAATATTAATCATAAATAAAACACCAAATAGTGCCGCAAACTCAGAACAAGCCGTTCTAGTTTTGCTTGTGCAAGAATCAAATAAATTGAAGCAAAAAGCTGCTCTGTAGTGTTTTAATCAAGATCACACCAACCGAGACCACGACAGCACCGAGACCAGGGAGTACAGGGACCAGGACAAAGCCAAGACATTTAGAGGTTGAGACTAAGACAAGACCAAGACATTCAGAGGTTGAGACCAAGACAAGAGAAGAAAGTAATGGGGTGAGACAGAGACAAGACCAAAACATTTAGAGGTCAAGCTCAAGACAAATCAAGACATTTAGAGGTCAAGACCAAGACAAGACTAAGTCATTTAGAGGTCAGGACCTAGACAATTAAAGACATTTAGAGGTCAGACCAAGACAATTCAAGACATTTAGAGGTCAAGACCAAGACAAGACTAAGTTATTTAGAGGTCAGGACCAAGACAATTCAAGACATTTAGAGGTCAGACCAAGACAATTCAAGACATTTAGAGGTTGATACCAAGACAAGAGCAAGACATTTAGAGGTTGAGACCAAGAAAAGTCCAAGACCATATATACATAAGCGCAAAACAATATTTTGTTTTTTTTGTTTGTATTTATCAAGAAAGATATCTGTTGTAAATTAGATCTGGAATCTCAATGAGACCAGCTGTGTAAAGTTTTTTTTTTGCTTTAAAATACATGCAAAAACAATCTTTGCTCTGTTTTCTACTTCAGGTCGTAGAAAACATTGCATTTCGTTTCTTGAAAAAGTTCATGTTAACAAAACTGAACTGGTGAGTCACAATAAACTTTCAAGAGATAATGGATAAAGTAAACAGTCAGCACCAGCTAAATTACCATAACACTACAAGTCCCTGGGACTGTGAATGTGAATCTGATCAATGTGATCCTGTATCAAATACGAATTGGATTAAAAATAAGAAAAAACTAAATCTGATCCAAGCGTTTCATGTACCTGATCCTCCCCAGAAAGAAATAACCCAGAAACAAAGCAGAGACCAGACCGTGAGTCCCTGACCAGACCTGCACATCAATTTGAAGTGACTTATGAACAATTATTTTTGCCTAATAGTAAATAGGGCAGATTGCTGCACATTTAATATTTATTTGGATATTATATTTATCCATCTATCTATCTGTTTAGTTATATTACTAAAGCAAAAACAGCGTAAAGATATGGTAAAATGGTCTCGTTCAAAAATCCAGAGACCGCCCTGTTCAAGATAAAGCCAGAGTGAAAATACTGTTGAGAAGATAAGAACTCACTGAAAGATGCAGACAACCACTTCATCCAGACAATAAAGGTGTCAGAGCAAAGCTAAAACTCCATTCACTTCCTACACTGGATTCTAATACAGACTCACCAGAAAGCCTCCCATAGTGAGTATTACAGCTCAACCTTGTTTGAACCTTTGAGGTCCAAGCAATGCTGACCCTCAGTACTTTTAAAATCAGACAATGAATTCCTCTTCACTCTTACATAGGCCATTCTTTCCTGTTCCCATGTTTGGAGGTACAGAGGAACATTACCTTTATTTTGTACTTTAGGAAAGATGT